GGATGGGCTAGCGGGGGTCATAAGACTCATCTGGTCCCCTCATAGGACCATAATCACAATTAGTGCTTGGGAGCACTGCCTAAGGCGGGGTGCCCCCAAAAGCTGATCTGATAGACAGCTTCGTGTACCTAAATACGTCGCTTGCTGGGAGGCGATCCCAGAAAACGCCTGGAGAGGGTGAGGAAGTGAGACAGAACAAAGAAGGCAGCCAGCCACCTCCAGGGACAGCTAGTGTTCATTCCTTCCCAACGGGGGGATCCTGGGAGCCACTGGAGGGCACAAGCCGAGGGGTCTGGGGTCTTCGTACACCAACTCCTGTCTGCCATTTAATACAAGGCTGCTGTCTACATATGTGTTGGAGGAGTGTTAATTCCCCATCACTTTATACCTGCAGAGGTACCGTGAGAAAGTCCCAGGCAAAGAGTTGGAGGGGCCGGCATCTGGAAGCAGGGCGTGTGCTGTGGGCAAAGAGGGTGAGGGATTGTGGGGGCACCCGCTGCACCTGCTACAAACACCTACTGTATTGCAGGCAGTCGGTCCCCATCCACACGATTTCTCACTCAGTCTCCCCAACAACCTTGCAAGATGGGCATCCCTATCTCCTCTCTATTTTGTTTTTTTAGTTTTCTTTTTTTTTTCTCCTCTCTTTTTAAAACAGCTTTATTGGCCAAGTACGGTGGCTCACACCTGTAATCCCAGCACTCTGGGAGGTCCAGGCTAGCAGATCACCTGAGGTCAGGAGTTCGAGACCAGCCTGGCCAACATGGTGAAACCCCATCTCTACTAAAAATATAAAAATTAACCAGGCGTGGTGGTGTGTGTCTGTAATCCCAGTTATTCAGGAGGCTGAGGCAGGAGAAACACTTGAATCTGGGAGGTGGAGGTTGCGGTGAGCCGAGATTGTGCCATCTCACTCTAGCCTGGGTGACAGAGCAAGACTCTGTCTCAAAAAAAATAAAAGTAAAAAATAAAAGAGGTTTGTTGAAGTATGGTTTTTGTACCACAAAATTCACCGATTTTAAGTGAACAATTCAACTTGTTTTAGTCTATTTGCAGAGCGGGGCCACCGTCACCACAATCTAATATTAGAACATTGCCCTTTTACCATCAGTCCCCATTCTCCCACCATGGACACCTCCCAGCAGCCCTTGGTACTCATTTACTTCCAGTTTCACTATTTCCTGTCTCCATACATCTATCTATTCTGGACATTTTATATACATGGAGTCATACTGTGTTAGTCCATTTTCGCAACGCTGTAGAGGAATAGCTACAACTGGGTAATTTATCAAGAAAAGAGATTTAATTGGCTCATGGTTCTTCAGGCTGTACATGAAGCATGGTAGCGGATCTGCTTCTGGTGAGAGCCTCAGGAAGCTTCCAGTCATGGCAGAGGCAGAGCGGGAGGATGAGTCATATGGTGACAACAGGAGTGAGAGAGGGAGTACGGGGTGGGGGGCGGTTGATGCCACTCTTCAACACCCAGATCTCGTGTGAACTCACTGAGCGAGAACTCACTCATCACCAAGCGGGTGGTACTAAGCCATTCATGAGGGACCCACCCCCACAAACTAAACACTTCCCAGCAGGCCCCACCTCCAACATCGGGGATTACAATCCAACATGAGATTTGGAGGGGACAAACATCCAAACCATGCCACATACAATATGGGGTCTTTTGTGTTTGGCTTCTTTCACCTAGCATAATGCTTTTGAAGTTCATCCATGTTGTAAATGTTTCCACACTTCATTCTTTCTTATTGCTAAGTAGTATTCCTTCATGTGGATACATCACATGATGTGTATCCCTTCATCCATTGATGGAAATTTGAATTATCTCCACTCTCTGGCTATTGTGAATAGCCAAAGTACTATGGACATTCACATTCGAGTGTTTGTGTGGATATCTGTTTTCATTTCCCTTGAGTAGACCTAGGAGTGGAATCGCTTGGTCATGTGGTAACTCTGTTTACTATTTTGAGAAAACACTTTTTCAAAGTCACTGCATCATTTGACATTCCCACCACAATGGATGAAGGCTCCAATTCTTGACTTCCTCACCAACACTTGTTATTGTCTGTCTTTCTAGTGTAGCTGCCCTGGTGGGGGTAAAGTGGTGTTTCACTGTGGTTTTGATTTGCGTTTCCCTAAGGATGCAAAGCACTAAGCATGTGGAGCTTTCTGTGGGAAAATCTTCTTTGGAAATGACTATTCAAATCCTTTGTCCATTTTGTAATTGAGTGATGTGTCTTTTTTACCATCTCCCTTTTTGCAGATGGGAAGACCAAGTCTCAGAGAGGCAGAGCAGCTTGCAGAGACCAAGCAGCCTGACTCCTGGGCACTGCGCTACCCCAAGCTGTCTCCAGATCCCCTTTGGATCTGATGCCCTGAGGGCAGGGTTAAATGCTGGGTGGGGGTCGAACTTTTGGTTCTTTGAAAACAGGGGCTGGGAGATTCCACAGAGCTCCTACTTTCAGAGGCCTATGGTTACCAGAAAAGTCCCAGAGAAAGGCACTTTTCTTCAGCCTGCTCCCCTCACCCAGATAAGCCTGCATCTCTTCCAGAACGAGCAACCAGGTCACAGCCCAGGCCCTTCCTGCCAGGTGCTCTGAGTTTGCAGACGTGTGTCATGGACCGTGTGGCTCCCTCAGCCTCCTGCCCACCTCCCTCCCAGCCCTCCACGTGGGAGCATGGCCTGCTTTCTCCCGACCTCAGGCCTTGGCTCTGCTTCCTAGGTACTATTCTCGTCTCTTCTCTGCAGTGCAGTGATTGCACTAATGGCCCTCTGGGTAACACCCCTGCTGGGCTGACCCAGCTCTCCTCTAGAAGTCATCGGTCACTCCTCTCAATGGACATTGTCTTAGCATCTGCTTGGTGCAGGATGTCGGGGACACAGAGAGAACAGGACAGTCTGTGACCCTGACAAACCCCCAGCCTGGTGGAGGAGGCAGAACCATTAATGATTGAGGGCAGTGAAGTTTTATGGGAGCAATACTAGGTATGAAAAGTCTGTTGGAACGCTGTGAGGGGTAGGAGGGGTAGGAGGCGGAAATGAAACAAACTTCGTGGACAGCCCTACTGTTGGAGGGGAGGGGCGGGAAAGGGCGTTCCAGGCAGAGGAACAGCAAGAGCCATGGCAGAGAGGTGCAAAATAAGTTTAGGGAAATGCAGGTTACTCTGTTTTGGGGGGTGTAAAGGGAAGGAGTGGGGACCTGACAGGGCTGGGGTCACAGCGGGCCTTGAATCCCATGCAAAGGAGTTTGGAACAGGGGGCAGTGAATGAGGGATTTATGCAGGGAAGGGGCTGATCAAATCTATAGTCTGGAAACATACAACTACGAGGATCCATTTCTATTTATTTATTTTATTTGCTTTTTTTTTAAGACGGAATCTCACTCTGCCACCCAAGCTGGAGTGCAGCAGCATGATCTTGGCTCACTGCAACCTCCATCTCCCCGGCTCAAGTGATTCTCCTGCCTCAGCCTCCTGAGTAGCTGGAATTACAGGTGCATGCTACCACACCTGGCTAATTTTTGTATTTTTAGTAGAGACAGGGTTTCACCACGTTGGCTAGGCTGGTCTCAAACTCCTGACCTCAAATGATCCACCCACCTCAGCCTCACAAACTGCTGGTTATACAGGCGTGAGCCACCAGGCCCAGCACAGTTTACCTTTAAATTCAGCCCTCTGCTGCTCCCTGGGGCCTCTCATGCTGCCAGGTAATTACACTACATTTCCTAAACCATCCACACTCCCACTCTCTTAAATGACCATTTCACACCTTCCCTCTCCCATAGCTCGGACACCTCCTTCCTAACCTCCTTCTCAGCTAATGACCTTCCTTGCTACTTATAAAAAAAAAGAAGCAACCAGAAGAGACAGCCCACACCCATCCATCGCCTCGTTCTCAACTTATATGACTCTGTGCTCTGCGGTTCCTTCTGTTGCTATGAGTGAACTCTTCCACTCTTGCCTGAGACAAACTCCTCCCTTTATGTATGGAACCCCTTCTTCTAGGAAGGACATCTATCAGTTGGCCCCTGTCTCCTGGGCTATTCTCCTCACCATACAAATCTCTACCTTAACTGATGTGGTTTGCCTGTGTCCCCATCCAAATTTCATCTTGAATTGCAGTTCCCATAATCCTCATGTATCATGGGAGGGACCCAGTGGGAGGCAATCAAAGCATGGGGGTGGTTACCTCCATGCTGTTCTCATGATAGTGAGTGAGTTCTCACGAGATCTGATGATTTTATAAGGGGCTTTCCCCACTTCGCTCTGCACTTCTCTTTCCTGCCGTCATGTGAAGAAGGACATGTTTGCTTCCCCTTCCACCGTGACTGTAAGTTTCCTGAGGCTTCCCTAGCCCTGCAGAACTGTCAGTCAATTAAACCTCTTTTCTTTATAAATTACCCAGTCTCAGATATTTCTTCATGGCAGCATGATAACAGACCAACACTCTTACCTTAAGGTAATTTTTCAATCCCTGCTTTTTTTTTTTTTTT